ATAGATTTAAGTTCTTTTTCTTTCGGGGAGGGGGGCGGTAATTCAAGCAGATGAGCAAGTTTCCAAAGAGGACGCTCCCTTGTGTATCTTTCAAGAGTTCCAAGATTACAAGATAATTAATAAGGTTCTTAAGGGGTGAGTAATCCGGCCGGTGGAGTCTGGTCTGACAAAGCATGGGCTTGTACTACTTAGTACTTACAGACTCGTGTTTTATTGATCCTATAGATTACTTATTACCATCACTGCTATTACATTAATTCCTTAGTACTTGTGTATGTATGGAAGTAACCTGTACTAATATTAGTTAGATCTGTATTTCTTAAAGAGATTTATTATCTTCAGATATCGTTTCCTATAAAATTGATCAATTTAACGATTATTAGTAAATTTAACATTCTTTCGATACTTTATATTTCTTCCTTTGTTTTTTTAAAGTTGTGTCGTAAAACGACCAAACTTTGCAGTTTGATTTAATATAGTCAAGGAAGAATTGAAAATTTTCTAAGAGAGGCAGAATTTTGGAAGAAGCTAAATTACACGAATAACGACCAAATAGCGCTGTTAGTAGCAGACCACGCTCATTTCGGGCCAAGGTTGACCCTCGATCGGCTGTTTTAACGGGCGATTAAAGCGAATCACGGTCCATGACGGGTGTCTTCGTTAACGACGCCGATTTCCCGTGGTTTAGCCTCCTCCATTACGCTCGTTAAGCCAACAAATCGCCTGATTTCGATTTCTCCGTTCCCTCGCTCTTATTGTCGTCCTTGTTCGACGTGGAAAATTCTTTGTTTACCATTTTCCCCTTTATACCTTTCCTACCGGTACTTTTTACAAAAAGGGCTACAAAAATCACGTTGTTTAAACGTTCTGCTCTTTCTCCTTTAAATTGAGTGTAAACGATCTTTCCACATGGATCCTATGGTTTAACGAAGATCAAGTAACTCGAGAGTAATTTACTTATTTTCGACGACAAAATTTGCAAAATTCAACGAAACTGGAAACCATTAATCGGTATCAAAAGGTCTTAAGACGGTGCACCAGGCTGATACGTCTATAAAAGAAGGAAATGTTTGGGAGTTTTTGTCATTGGTAACTAGTAAATGAAAAGCATCAATTTTCTCAGAAGATATAAATGCAACGGTTAGCTCTCTTGTCCAATTTTTAAAAGTAAATTGTACTGCATATAAATATAATATTACACAATGGAGGAATTGTGATCACCTCGTTGAAACGTTTAAATTATAATTATTATACCTATAAATGGTGGCAGTTTAAAAAAGGAAAACTTCTTTTTAACGAAAAAAAAATCAAGCTTTAACATTTCTAAAAAATTACACAATTGGCACACCGAAAAAATCGTACTCTGCATTGTAGGAGATACATTTTTCTTTATGAATCGGAAAGAATTTTTTATTTCAGACGTTCCAATCCTTGCAAACGATGGTGTCCAGCAATCGATGTTCTAGCAAAAGATATATAGCAATAACTTCTCCATTTTCTAACATATTTGCTTTTTAAAAATTGGAGAAGAAAGCTAAACGTTACATTTATATCCTCGGAAAACATTTGAAGCTTTCATTTAGTAGTTAGGTATGTAGAGGATTTATGTGTGGAGGGATAGTAAACTCGAACGGACTTTTGACTATACTATATTTATTAATAGTTTATATCACTAGGTGCTACGCTAAGGATGTCGCTCAATCAATCGCTGGATTCATACTGCCCTTCGCTCCCTCGCATTCGCCCTAATGTCATCTTGCATACATGCACACTTTTCGTTAGAAGAAAACACACACGCACTCACGCACTCCTCGCCTGATTACTAAAACTAAACATTCGTTCAATATCTTTCGCGCTATCCCAAACACTCGACCTGGCACGCCGGTCCTTACCGCTCACGCCATAGACCCTCACGCATTCACACAGACAACGCATTCATACAAACAACGCACTCACGCTCGGTCATCCCTACAGGTATAAAAAAAATTCTCAAACTGTACCCATCTTCAGACGTATCAGGACAGTGTACTCCCTCAATTTTTCACACTTCTCTGTCGACAATTTCGTTTCAGATTCATCCAAACAGATGATCATGGATCCTTCGCGAAAGTTCGAAACGTTCCATCAAATTCTGTCTCACAGATCCTTCACAAAAACACGACAAATATTTCCCCGAATTCGCGGTTCGCCGCATTTGCCACCTGGGAAACAGTTCAAACTCCAGAGGACTGGCTTTTTCATTTTTTTTTTTTTTTGGAAAACGAGCGAAAGATGAAATTTTTATTCGTCGCCGTCGCAGCCGGTCGTCCATTAAAACGAAAGCAGCGGCCAATAGGACAGATTAAATTCCGCCTGGCCGCGGAAAATTGCTTTTCTGTCGGCCGTTGCTCCGACCGCTGGAAAATAGTTGCCATCTCCTGTGGAAATGGAGTTCGAGGCCGCAGTTTCTGGTTCGCCGGCAATCGGTTCGCGTTTTCGGCCAC